CGATCTTTAACAAACTTATGAAAAGTCACATCATGGAATAATATAAAAACTTCTTTCTAAACATAATTTTAATTCTAACATGCTCTTTATACCTTCGTTTAAATCAAAGAAACTGTCCTTTTTATTTAACTTTATATGGTTAGCAATTTTCCTTAATAGTATAACGTCGTACGCTTTTTCCTTTCATACGATCTTTTAACATATACAAGTATGTTATCCTGGTGAAGGCTTACTCTCTATGGATATTTTATTACCGGTACGACTTCGGGATATCCACGTAGAAGGAATCGATAGCGGTGCAATTACTTTTATTGCTACTGGTAATATCACCACATGATTAAAATTAAAATGTTTCATAATCCTTTAAATTGTATTTATCTTTTGCGATCATTCGTAAGAACACCGCCTCAAACCATTTTTAAGTGGCATATTTCTATTCCCATATCATTCTTCCAACTTGGAGATGTTGTGAGAGGACGTTTACAGAATTCTTCAGATCATTTTAAATATCTGCACAAAGATGTTTTGTAATAATAATATTTAATAACAAATGATACTTCAATTTCAAAACGTATTAAAATCAATGCATCGTCGGATACTCCATCGCTTTGTGGACGAACAATACAGAAATAAACTGGTTGTATTAGGATTCCGGAGTATTGTCGGTCGTGGGTCGGTTTTGACAGGCTCCATTCATTGGGGGCGGCTTGAAATGTACGCCTACGGAGCCATTGTGCGCAATCCTAGCTCTCCAAATGCTTACCTGAGCCGATGCACTTTTTTCTCCGACTGTACTCAATAGAGTAAGGCTGTGGTTCAAAAACCAATTAAGCTGTAAAGGTGTTCAGTACGGTGTGAAGTCGTACGAATGGGACGCCGAGTTTGAACTAGTTTTTTTTAATTCACCCACATTCATTCCAGTTTGTACAACGATTTGTGGATATGTTTGTTGTTTTGGTTCGATTTATTTTCAGTGCGAGAATGTATCAACGACTTTAGCAGTTTACTATTTCTGAATACATTTGATAATGGTTTCGAATCTGCCATTCCTCTATTGACGCAATCCCAAGTATCGGCTTTGCGAATTCGAAATATATACTTCGAACTTGTTTAGATTTTAGCTCTCAGTAAAATTGCTATTGGATAATACAAATATCGTTAATTTCACTAGATTCTTTATCTTACTCTTACTAATAATATAAATGCGAATGTTTGCAACGACTAAACGAATCTTGATGAAATTTGGCAAATATGTAGAACCCACATAGGTTACTTTTATTTAAGTGCTGACGGAATCGCGGGCGAAAGTTAGTTTGTTATAAAATTAAGATCGTTTATAAATTTTTGAGTGGCATTTTATAGCACCGTCTCTATCAAAGATCTTAGCGTCTTCTACAAATATATCCCTGTCATAAATGTTGCCTATATTTATAACGACAGGTGCAATCACGAATTAGAGTGTCATAATACGAGACGTTATAACGTTATAACGGTGTGAAGTGGTCATAATATGTCCTATTAAAAATAACACCGTATTAGTAATTTTCGCACCCCCGCCGCTTTGGTGTGTGTCATAAATATTTCTTATCGTCAATTTGAGCCGCGAGATTGTCAATAAAATATGACAAGTGGCAAGCAATTAACAAAAGGTACATATGTTGAACCACGTTAAACTGAATTTTTAAGTTCGATTTTCATATGTCGCTCAGATATAGGAATTTAAAATTATCAATTTGTATTAACTGCATCTCTTTTGTATTAATTTTATTTATAAACAAATGCATATCTTTGTTGTAGCGTTACCATTTGTGGCAATGTTACATAATTCCACTCTGATTGCTCTGTCTATTACAGTCTTACTCTGTGTACATTTGCATTGTATTTGGCTTGGCCTTACGTCTGTTTGCAGTGAAAATTAGTTGGATTGCATTAGTATTTGCAGTGGGATTACTTGTAAATGACCATGTTCTGATTAAGTTTTACTTAATTACAAGTAGCTTATCAAGTTTGTATATCTAGAACATAGGGTTATTAATTAACACACGTTAACTAAGGTCGACTTAAGGTTCTTCAAGAAGCGAGCCTATAATTTCCTCAAATGCAACGCATCTGTAATTCCTCTGGTGTTGCAGATGTCCATGGGCGTCGTTTACAACCTCTGTGTTCCCGCCGTTCGTTTGCCCCCTTCTCTTATATAAAAAAGCTAAATAGATTGCAGTTAAAACATAGATGAAGTCTTTCGTCGAGGACATGAGGTCTGAGTATACGAGATAGAGGTCTTCATGTTTGTAATGTAGTAAACACTAATATTAGCTAAGAAGCAAATGGCCGTTACGCTTCGCTAGCTCGACACGATTTTATTGAATAGCTCAGAACAAGCTTATTGTAGTGCTATAGCTTGACGTAGCTAAGCCTATTACCCGGCCATTATACCGTCAGCGATCACAGTAGCTGCAGTGACCCACAAACGACGGCGGAGCCGCAAAATTTATTATTATAATAGCAATTTGATTGAATGGGCCAACGATCATAACTTCGTGGAGCCCTAAGCTTAATAATGTTATTTTTATTCCGCCAATAAGCAGATCGCGTGACGTACGGAAACAATTATAGGCTTGCGGTGAATTGCGATTTTATTCCTTTGTAATAAAGTATAGTTTCCTTTGGTTAATGTTGTTTATTTTCTTTCGATGAAATGTCGTGCGTGATTTTGGTAGACCGAAACGCGTATGTTACGTCTCATTACATTTGTTTTAGTAAAATATTTTTTTAACAATACACATTTGTTATTAAAACAATTTCAGACAGAGGACAGCAGAATTGGGTTGAATTTACTTGTATCTGCATGTTTTATTTATGTTTTCAACCTTATGACGAAGGAAAATGATCGTTCAAAACGAACAGAAGAGTAAACAAACTTTGTCAACGTCAATTTAGAAAATGATTATCATAAATTCTATGATCAAAATGTTAGAACAATAGATCTTTCAAATATTTTCTTTAACGCGAAATTTCAATTCAATAAAGGAAAACACAAACATCAGGCGGCGGCGGCGGGCGAGCGACTCCAAATTAAATTGTTCTCAATTAAATAAGTCACGAATAAAGGGTCCATTAATTATAAAAACACAACTTGTGATGTCGTCAACTTTGCTTTCCAAAGCTTGACTGCGAGGCGGACTTTCGCGTAAAAGCATACCCATTAATACTAAAAGCTTATCACACGATCAGTTTTAACGTTTTGATTTATAAGAGCCACTCTACATCGCCTTCGTCTCCACTTATACCACTAAAGCTCTGCTTGAAATTTCAAGGCACACGCAAATTCCTTACTCCGTTCTTATTCCGTGAATAATAAAGGTGACTTGTGAGATATTTTAATAACCCGTTACTTGACCTTTCTTAACCTTAGGGCTATGAAAAATATTCCATACAATAATAAGAATTATTAAACTCTAGATTTAATTTAAAAAATGAAATCTCTGAAACCTCAGTTGTTAATCTATGGTACATTTGTAGTCAGACTTTATAATATTTTTATCTACACTGAGGTACTCCTGAGTGGCCTATTAACGATTCTACATATGTGCAAGTGAGACAATATGATAGACTGCATATTATAATTAAGAGATAACAATACTTATAGGCGTTGTCTTGAAGCATATCGAAGGAATGAATCTTCAATGAGGTTCTGTTCACAAACATCGTCCTGACTACGACGTTATCAATCGATTCTACACTCTGGAGAATTCGTACGCTGTCGGAAACAAAAGCGGCACCGAACTAAGTTTATGTCAGCTAAAGTTTACAAATTGTTTGCGTAATAATATATTTTGTTACAATAAATACGAGTCACTTTTCCCGCCTTAAATTGTCCGCGTAATAATTACATCGTTTTTCATTGTTAAATTAAATAAATATATTTTTTCAAACTCTTTGATGGCTCATAGGATACATTACCAAATTTCTACACTTGGAATATTTAAATTATGGTGTTATTAACTTTTGTTTTTTAATAATAATGTGCCTAAGCCGTAATACAATTCTCAACTTTAATAAACAGATTGTTCATATTGTAACAAACGGCTATATTACTGAGCATTCAATCCTTTGTTTTAATTAAAAACCTTTTCGTTACACTGTTATACCATTTAACAAATATTTAACCTAAATTGCTAGCCTTATTACAAATTCCTTTACCAACCTAAAAGAAAATTAAGGCAGCTATGATTTTGTTAATTAATGTAATGTCGGCAACATTAGAAATAGTTAAACAGCTAATATAAAGAAAAATTAATTAACTCCGACTCCAAACCACTGTGTTAACAAAATTAAGGCAGAAAAAATGGTTTCTTAATTAGTTTACATATTACATTTTAACGTGTAATATTTGAATAGTAGAATTAAGTTTAAAATGTATGTCGTAGTGACGGTTTGCAGAAATTAATTCCGAAGGTAGACATATACACGATAACTTGTCCTGGCTTGCGTATGCCAGAGATAATGAAATAAAAATCGCGTAATATCAGAAATATCGATCTTCAATTTTTAGTGAAAGCTGCACAACGCTATCTCACCGGATTGCAAAGATTTACATAGATTCACCAATTGATTAAACGTGCGCATGACCAAAGCGCATTGCTTGACTGTCTGACAACTGACGTATGTCTTTGATCGCCGCCATGACATCTATTTGGGGTTGTCCGCTCAAAAACTCAAATTACAATACCAATTCAAAACATTTTAAAATGTTGCCAGAATTCAAAATTATTATTTGATGGTAACTTTAATCGTTTAAAAATTAATAATCATTTCTCGTCGCTATTTAGAGTAGTTGGAAAATTGTTAACTGTACGTCTGTAGCCGGCTTTATCATAGGTTACTTAGGGACAAATTAACAATAAGCAAGTATAACAGTATTAGATGACGTAACTCGGTCTTTAGTTTTACTGTTATCATGTTTAAAACTGATGTTGGCTCAACTTAATTATTTGTTGCAGATTGCTGCCAGAACTATGAAGCTCGGAAGTGATCGATCTGTAAACTTAATTAGGGAACTAAAGTGATGAGAGTCTATCAAAATCAATCGATAGTGAAGAAACAAATGCACAACGATCAGTGAAAACGGTAACCAGTCGTTCTACAGTAGTGGTAAGTCGAGTTTAGTGAACGTAAACAGTGTAACAACGTGATAATGTGTGCAGAGTTTGTGTGAAGTGGACCAATGGTAGTGGATGTGGGAACATGGGTCGACAGCGGCCGAGGGCGCGGCACCACGAGCTGCCGGGGCTACAGCGGTCGTGGATACGGCACCAGAGGGACCCGGAGCGGCGAGGTGCCGGCCTCTCGCTCATGCTGAGGTGGATCCTCTGCGTGTGGCTGGCTGGCTGCCTGCCTCTCGGCAACACCGTCAAACAAGATGGTACGTACTAGTAACTTAGTTAATCTTAAATTCAGTTCATCTTAATTAGTCTCTTTGTATTATCTTGTACAAAACGTTCTCTTTAACCTTTCAATTTACGTAATCCGTGAAGATAACATCTGACGTTCGCGCATCATTAATCTTACATTGTTACGAATTAATGAAGCTTCAAACATAAAAGAATCGGGAGAAGCCAAAGTAAATTTCTGGCATATTTATTATGATGGAACTTACTCGCTCTTTATTTAATCTTCACAGAACCGAGACTCTCGTTGAATCTCAATTTTCGGCAGATAAAAACATGTGTATGATTGGTACATGGCTGAATACGGCGTAAGTTAAGCGTTTCCGACGGCGTTTCAATCTCAATAAAGGATTTGTCGTTGCGAACTAAGAAATAAAAGTCTTTCGAGAGTCGAAATTGCGATTTAAGTTCCCACATCGTCGTATATAGTTGTGTGTATGCGATGTTCAATTCAGCAGCGAGCAGACTGTTTGAACAACATACTTGTGTGCTGGATGCTTCTTTTCCTATGTTACAAACATATAAAACCACATACTTTACGTTGCAATCTCCATTCACGTTAATGTAGCATAACTTAACAACACATGTAAAGTTTTTGTATTTGTTTGATATAAACTAATTGATTACAGTCGTCATTAATCAATTAACAAATACAAAATTAATAAAAAAATATATATAGAATGTTTGTGCTAAAATTATAATGAACTGTGACGTTAAAATATCGCTTTAATATAATCCGTTTAACATTTGGACAGTAATATCTCCGATAGTCTCAGCATGTAGATGTCAAATGAATCATGTGAATACAGAAATAACATCACAGTAGCTTTGAGCTCGGAACATAAAACGAGTTTAAGAGCTATTCAACATTTATTTGACATCGTCTCAGTCTCGAGATCAACTGGAGGCTTCAATGAAACCGCTAAGGTTTAAAGTTACGAAGCGACGAGTGCTTTATATCCCTTTGATTCAACCGTGACTTCGTTATCATTTGATGATCAACTTGAAACTTTAACTTAAGTTAATTCTAACGATAGTATTATGTTTCGAGTTCATCTGGTTTGGTCTGTTCATTTACGCCATTACTGATGTTGCGATATTTCGAATAAGATACCTTTTTAAGCCCAAGTATTGGTACTATTTCACAAATTTTATGGTACAACTGTTAGCCATGTGATATTTTGTATAAACATAAAATGTGTTAATACTTACTTAAAACTTTTTAATTGAAAAAGGGATTACTTAAAGCCGCTTGGGATAGCAATGAAAAACATGTGTCTTAAAGTTACTATGTTTATGGCTTAATCTAAAATTGAAACAACGTAAACATGAAGAGATGGTAGAAATATCATTTTATTTCGAATATATTAACGAAATGATTCCGTTATCATAGAGAAGTAAAATTATTTTTGTAACCACAATTATTTCGTATTCCGTATAAAAGATAATTTTCATTTCTTACTTCCATTACGTTTCATTGTTTTGAAAAGTAACACTAACGTAAAAGGGAAAGTGAAAAAAAGCATAGGCAGTGAGTGAGGCAACACGAAACACTCTGAAACACACTGAAAGTAAGTAGATTACACGCAAAACAGCCTTAGGGTTGGTACTTAAGCAACATTTTTTTCCAGCCGACATTTGAAATCAGGGCGAAGCGGCGACCGTGACGCGGGGGGAGGTCCCAGACAATAGTTCCCGAAAAACTCAGCCCTATTGTTTCTGTTCGCCCCTCCGACAGCAATTAATGTTGTATTTTACCTTTATGCGTTCTAATACAGTTGTAACGAGTGACGCCCCACCTGCCCTGGGCACCCTCAGATCGGATATTGTTATAAAAAGTTGAAATTTATTATCCATTCTGTGAACACCTGTCCGAAAAGTTCGACCCTAATAGTCGACGCGAGCATTTATCCCTTATTATGTTTGGGTTAACGTGATTCTTTCATTTAAGTTTTGCTGGGATCGGGATCTTATACCGGTTTTGTTGTTGGTTTTTTCTTGCTTTTATGTGCTATTATTATTTAATTTACTTTATTAAGACGTTATGAAGACTTAAGTTATTATTTCTACGAATGTTATAGGTAACATATTTTTTTTTGTTTGAACTAAGTTTACTTAGGTGGTAACAAAATGTTCATTCAATTCAATTTAGAATTTCAATTCACTCAGTGATTTCTGTTGCTCAATAAAAATTCTTGATTGTAAGCGCAATTAAAATCAATGTGTGTCGTAAAACTAAACAACTTTAGTAGACAAGGCATGGTAACAGACACATTGCGACGCTTGAATCATACCTATAGGTTTAGGGAGGGTGTGCAAAGTCAACAAAAGAAACGCACAGAGAGGGTCGGAGTTGCAACTTTGCAAACATTACGGTAGCTGCCAGGATATATGGGAAGGATAACGAAGCCATATCTACGTGTAGATCAAGAAATTCAAACGTAATAAATTTTGCGTGGAACATGTTTTTTATTTACAATTTATATTTTGCGTATATGTGTATATACTGTGCGTATTTCTTTAAACTAACAGGCGATAGTAGTAGTAGATAGTATAGAATTTCAAGCTATGATTGAAATTCGTAAATATCAACGTATAACTCTCAGTGCTTAATTACGAGTAAATTATTAACGCTGGGTTGCTGATTTTATCTTATCAATACGAAATGATTCATTAGCATTAGTTTGAACTAAGTTTAAAAATTAGTAAAACATGTAGTTAACGAATTTCAAGAAGTTATCGCACCAACAACACTAATGAATGGTTCAATGTAGCTGGGAAATCAGCCATTAGTCGTTTGATATCAGTAGTATAGACAAATTCATATTGTGTAGGAAACATCTAACTATTCTATAACAATACTCGTTCACAGCATAATACAGTAAAAAATTGTTTCACATGAGGCGTTGTCTGGCAATTTTTCTTACATTGGTTAAATCCGCTATCCTTTTTGTGCGACGCCGAGTCAACCTTAATCTATATTAGTTCTTTTGCGTCGCAAAATGGACGCATGTGTCATATTACATGAGCGATGTTATAACGTTTAGTTACTATATACATTTAATAAACAAAAATTATAATGTCTTGTATTTTATTAGTCGCTTTATGTACTCGCATTCGACCGGACTATGTCCGAGCGGAATTAAAAAATAAATGTGAGTAGCCTATGTCTTCCAGACTATTCTACATCTATGCCAAATTTCATCGATATCCATTACAATATCCATCCATCTATACTTTAGCATTTATACAATAAGTACCTATAATAAGATTGTTAATATTGTAAATGTTAGTTATTTGAAACTATGGTGATATAGTTTATTTCTTCACAAATCAAACGCTATATTGTCTTTACGAAATAAAGAACTCGTCACTTCTAACATCGTTTTGTCAAAATAAATCATTTTGTCAGATATATTTAATAAACACGACAATGAAGCGAAGTTTCTCAACTCCATATAAACTTTGAGCTTCTCGAAAAACAATATACATCATCGAGAAATTGAGTGTAACATTTTTCGACTACTTCAAGAATAAACTCCCTACTTTGTAACTTCGCAGACGTCTAGCTGGAGTGGGAGCACTAACTGAATACCTAGCCCGGTCCCCGAGCACAGTGAGAACGGACAATGAATACTAATCAAAGAAGGATATCGTCCTATACAACGGACAAAAAGAATGTTCTCGAAGTGACCATCGGCGATAGGGGTATTCTAATTGAACTTTTTATCCTTTGTACTGCTCCGAGATTGAAATAGATTTCCATTGGCGATATTTTACGAGCGAATTGTAAAAGGGTTTTGGACGGTTTTCGGTTGTTGTTTTATCAGTTATCTTTTAATCAAAGTGCCTTTAAAAATTAGAAACGAAGATTATATTTTTGAATTACTGGATAAAAACATCAGACATGAATGATTCGATTATGTTCTCTTTGTTTAGCACCTCGCTGAAGATAAGTTAATTTCGACCGCAGAGTCGCGGCGGCAACAAATCTAATTATGAACCAGACCATCGGAATTGCTGCTAAACTAAGACAGACTTAGCTTCGATTAGCTACTAATGGCCGGTTTCCCAGCTAAATTTAACCGTTCGATAGTGTTTTCTTCTTGTAAGTATAAAATAAATGGAAACTTCAGAATCCGAGCATAAATGATAGAAGTGCTAAGTGTTAATATTATTATTTCGTTTTCTTTTACTGACAAGCATTAAACATTAGATAAATGTTTAAAAGCATCTACTATTAGTCGCGTAAATATAAATGTAAATAAGAGTATTTGCAGGTAAGAAGAAGTCGCAGGTAAGAACGTTTCAATATGCTAAGAACATAACTTGAATGTAAACTAAATGACTGTCAATTCTGTTCTTGACAATATTGTATGTGATAATCTAGTTATAGCGGACAGAGGACGTCCCCGGGGGCCCGTCTGCTGGCGACTGCACTCACTTACCAACATTTAATGTTATTCTATTCACGTCTCTTTGTGTACATATGGAGATTTGTTGTTCGTGGTTATGTTTCGGAAGAGAAAGAATTAATAAATATATTTAATGTAATAAAAAAAATTATCTTCTAATTCTTGTGAACATGACAGACATAAGATGTAATGTAAATATTGAAATTTGTCATTTCTATAATAGTAGTTACAACGTGATGATTATACAAAGTATCATGCAAACCTTTCAACGTGTGAAAGCGAGAACAGTCAAACGTGATGATAGAAAACAGACCTTTTAACAGACAATCGGAACGCAATAACGACGTCAAAAACTTTACCATGCTCCCCTTCAGTCAGCGTCGAACGTCAAACACACCACAACAACCATTGCGTTGTTTCCATAGTCACGTACACGACCCACCGCTTGCCAGTAATCAAACTAAACCCGTTTTACTTTTTCCTTCAAAGATCGATAACGAAGTTTGCATTCGAAGTAGCGTTTTGCACGGAACACTACGATTGTTCGCCAGAAAACCAAC